GTTGTATTTTGGACTAATAATGTAAGTCCAAGTTTTATGTAAAGGGTCAATTATGTAGAAAATAATTTGGTCTTAGGACTAAAAATGTTAAGAAAAATCCATGTAAAAACTAATTTTGAAATAGGCAATTGATGAGGGGTAACATTTGCTAAGTGATAATTCTTTTACTAACTATTTAAACCCTTAAATTTCAGAAAATTTACTCTCATTTCTCACTTTTCACTTCTCTCTCTAAACCTACGCCCTCTCATCACATAAACCCTACCTTTTGGTTTTACCTCCTTATGCATCTTCCAATTTGGTGTTAGTTTGAAGATTTAAAGCTAATTGATTGAAGATAATGTAAAGAAGCAAGGTATGAAATTATAAATGTCAAGATTTGTGGTCTAATTTGTTGATTTGTGATAAAATTGGGAGGTTTCATGTTAGGGTTCATAAGGTTTTGATTAGTAAGTTAAACCTTTGTTAAATGATGTTATTTTTTATGTCATTGTTGGTTAAAGAAGTTATAAATTAAGTTTTAATCATTTATTTGCAATATGGTAAGCTAGATAGTTGATTCTTGATGGTATTAGTGTCAAACTTATGCAAAAGGGGCTGTTTTGAGCTGTGTATAGGAAYCTTAGTACTGCTGGTTGTTTAAAAATTCATATAAAATCACTCATTGATCCGATTGAGGTGTTCCATATATTGTTGGAAAGGTATCTGTGTATAMTACAACTTTGTAGTTTATATTYAGACTTGATTTTACCTCCATAATGCTCAAAACAGTGAGTTTATGTAGYTGGTCCTGTGCAAAAASGGGATTTGCATACTGTTTTTAGAWAATTCATATAAAATAGGTTTTTGCTCCAAASGGAATGAATCCAAATCGACTGGAACCCTAMGTAATCGRCCTACAACTTTTGTTTAGACATTAACACCTGAATGCTTCTCTAAGTATGARWAAAATTATCAAAGTCAAGTTGGTTCAAAGYTGTCTGGTGCAGKKGACTTARTAGCTTTATTTTTGCTTGTACTTTGTGATTTGAGGATTGTAACATTCGTAGATCTTGTATCAATCAGTCACAATCATGTGTAACTTATYCAGGACCWATCTTAGAATAAGAAAGGGGYATTAACAAGGGGATAGGAGCTACATGCTTACTTCTTCGAWTGCCGTCTAAGGTACGGATACCCGATTCTTGTGACTTTCTTTAATCACTAATTCATTATAGAGGCAATATTGTATCTCATTACCATTTCGGCATCTATCACTTGTATATAATTATAGTTTCATTTTTGGGAGAGTACCCTTTTCACATTGAATTGATATGTTTTTGGTGATTTGAGCACTTTGTGTTTTAAGGCACGACATCGAGGGCAATGATGTCATGACGCCTCCATGGCGGCTATAAATTGTCATGGCGTCCTCGCTATTATACCCCAATGTCAATAAGTGGGTCTGGCCTGGTACCGGCTAATTTGAGGGCGAATGGATCGATCCTAAGAACCGTTATCGGAAGTCGTATTCGGGAACCATTTTCGGGAGCCGATTATCGGAAGGGAATTGAGTGTGTTGCCCTACACTCATTTTCCATTGTTCGAGTGGTCCGTACAACCCTCAAAACCAATTGATTTTCTTATTTAATTTTCAATTCTTGACTTGATGATATTATTTTAAATTATTTCAGTATGGACATTTCATGTCAATTATTAATTGATCCCTTCATGTTCTGGTTTTCGGATTCCTTATAATTATTATATTTAATTAACTCGATTTATACTTGCAATCTTGTTACTTTAATTATCCGTTCACTGAGCATTTGGCTCAGCCGAGGTTTGTTTTGTCCTCGGCAGGTACATGATCATAGGTGGGACTATCACGGGACTGAGAGCGATGGAATATGACTATTTTGAAGACGACCTTGGATAGTATAGTAGTTTTTGTTTATGTATGTATATTGTAACTATATCCATGTTGTCTTAACTTTTAGTCTACCACGTTCTTTTGATGGATGTTCATGATAACTCTGGTTCTCTTATATATATATATATATATATATATATATTAGCTATTTATCTTGTTATGTTTTCCTCCGTAACACACCATCTTCTGGCCATGCAAGACAAGGGTGTTACAAGTTATGGTATCAGAGCTTTAGGTTAAGATCCTGTAGTAAGACTAAGTTTGATCTGTGAGGAATGGGTAATAATAGGATCAGGTAATTTAAGTTTCCCCTTCTAATTGTTTAATTGTATCATTCTTGCTTTTATAATTCAATTCTCGCTTTCGTAAATTGCAATTATGCTTCATGTTTTCTGTATATCCATTGTTGATTTTAATGAAAATTAAATGGCAAATGTAGTAATTCAATACGCCACCAAGTTTGGAAGGACCAAGACGGGGACGGGGACGGGGACGGCCTAGAAGAAATCAAACTGGGCCAGAAAATGCATCAAATACCCCACCAACCCAGCCAATTGATCTTAACATTACGGCAACGATCCACCAAATTATGTCTGAAATGCTACCAAGTTTGGTAGCACAAACTGTAGAAGCACTCCGTCAATCTGACGAGGCTCAAGACCCAAACCTTGTGAACCAACCATCAGAGACTCAAGGTCAAAGAACCAACACTGGTAGTAATTCCCAAGAGATTCATCTATGGCTTGAACGATTTCACAAACAGAAACCTCGAGTTTTTATTTCGGCAGCTACTCCAGTCGATGCCGAAGATTGGATCATACATTTGGAAAAGATATTTCGAGTTTTGGGTTGCCCAGATCATATCTGTGTTGAATTGGCAATATATAAATTGGAAGGTGACATCTACCGTTGGTGGCACGCGTGGAAACAGGCCTATATTGGGGTGGTTGATATTGGGTCTCTAACTTAGGAAGAATTCAATGAGCTCTCTTATCAGCAATATTTCTCCAATCTGACAAAGATGCGTATGGTCGAGAATATGCTATTATTCGTCAACGAGATGATGAGTCTATCACCGACTATATGGCCAGATTTCTACGTATTGTGGGTACTGCATCACATCAAACTGAAAAATTCAAATGGTCACTTAATGGAAAGTACAGATCAAAGTTGATCAATCAAAATTTTACTACAGTTGCTCAGGTTGCTGATGCCGCACGAAATATAGAAAGGGAACGACTCGACACCATTCAGTTCAAGGGTGATAAAGATAAAAAGCGAAAGCATGACGGGTCATCGGGAAGTTTCAACAAGTTTAAGTCAGGCAATTCAGATAAAAGGAGATTTGGTGGTAGSAAATTTTYRGGGTCATCTCAGAGTATTACAAGTTCAAATCCTTCAGTCATGACTCCTCCAACTGTTTGCAAAGAATGTAATCTACCACACCGACCGGGTCCGTGCCTTCAGATGACTGGTTCATGTTTTAATTGTGATCAGCGAGGTCATCTGGCTAGAAATTGTAAAGTGGGTCAAGCGGCTAAAGCTTCAGGGACAAGTCAGTCTAAAGACAAGGGAAAACAATCCACCGCCGGAGGTCGAGTATTCACATTATCAGCAGACAAACCCACTACTGGTATGGTCTCTGGTCATCTCCTTATTGATGATATGAGTATATATGTTTTATTCAATACAGGGGCAACTCATTCTATAGTTGCAGAACATCTTGAAAGTAATCTTAGACAGTATGAACAGTCACTTGAGTTTCCCTTGCTTATCTCTACCCCTATGGGGAGCTCTATCTGTATTGTTGCACAATACAAAGACTGTCCTTTATTTATTGCAAATCGAATTCGAAAAATCACCCTTCTTCCGATGAAGATGAACCATTTTGATATAATTGTTGGTATGGATTGGTTATCCGAACATCAAGCTGTGATTGACTGCGATTCAAAGCAAGTGATATTTGGTGATAAAGTCAATCCAAAATCTGTATTCCAGGGTGTCTCGCCTAAACCGGGAACCCGAGTTATATCGGTTGTCCAAGCTAAAGCTTTGATTTGGCAAAGTTATGAAGGCTTCTTAGCTGCACTTCAAGATCCGGGTGAGATACAACTTAAACCTGAAGATATTCATATTGTTAATGAGTTCCTAGATGTTTTTCTAGATGAACTTCCCGGTGTTGCCTCGGAACGCGAAGTTCAATTTTCTATTGACTTAATTGCAGGAGCTGCACCAATTTCAAAGGCTCCATATCATATAGCTCCTTCAAAAATGAAAGAGCTTAAAGTGCAAATTGAAGATCTATTGAGCAAAGGTTTTATCCGTCCCAGTGTATCTCCATGGGGTGCACCTGTTCTCTTTGTTAAGAAGAAAGACGGTTCCATGAGACTCTGTATTGATTACAGGGAGCTGAACCGCGTTACCATTCGAAATAAATATCCCTTACCTCGTATTAACGACCTATTTGATCAGTTACAAGGTGCTCGTTATTTTTCTAAGATCGATTTAAGGTCGGGATATCATCAGTTACGAACTCGAGAACAAGATATCCCAAAGACTGCTTTTCATACCCGTTACGGTCACTTTGAATTTGTTGTCATGCCGTTTGGATTAACAAACGCTCCTGCAGTCTTCATGGACCTAATGAATCGTATCTTCAAGGATTACCTCGATGAGTTCATTATTGTTTTTATTGATGACATCCTGGTATATTCTAAAAACAAAAGAGGATCACGAAAACCATTTGCCGATAGCCTTGAGAACTCTTCGAGACAAAAGCTTATACGCAAAATTCTCTAAATGCGAGTTTTGGCTAGACCAAGTGATTTTCTTGGGGCATGTCATCTCCGAGGAAGGTGTTCAAGTTGATCCTGCTAAAGTAGAGGCCGCACTAATTGGCCACGACCAACCAATGTTTCGGAGGTTCGTGGATTTCTGGGTCTAGCAGGATATTACAGACGATTAGTTGAAGGCTTCTCGATAATTTCCCTTCCGTTGACTCGACTCCTTCGAAAAGGGGTTAAATTTGAACGGGGCAATGATCAAGAATGCAGTTTTGAAGAACTCAAGCACAGATTGGTATCAGCTCCAGTCTTAGCCTTACCATCTGAGTCAGGAGGTTTTCAGGTCTATAGTGATGCCTCTCAAAATGGCCTTGGATGTGTATTGATGCAACATGGAAAGGTTATTGCGTATGCTTCTCGCCAATTGAAACCTTATGAGGCTAAC